TATATTTCAGGTATGTTATTATGCCAGATTGATTAAATTTACGATTTGGAATTTAAAAAATCATATATAATTATCGATTCACAAACCACGAGAGATTATTGTGTGTCACGCAACTCACCTATAAATCCAAGCATAAACCTACAAATTAACAACCTCTATATCTGATTTAAAAAAAATATGAATTGAAAAATGAATAAAGCTCACATAAAGTTATAAAGTTTTACTGTCCAACGTTGATAATTTCTCAATGATAAAGTGCACAATGTACATAAGAGTAAAACGTGCTGACATAGGTTTATTACGATTTGTATACGTATATATAGGACGTTCAAATACTGTACATGTGCATCGGGTAAAGCACGTTAAAGGTACATTGGGGGGTGGGGGGGGGAGAATTTTAAGAGAATTTTCTGTGATTTTTTCTTAAAGAATCTTTGCTGTAGTAGTGTCTGATTATTTTAATGAAATATATTAAGTTTACAAGAAATATGACAGTAAAAAGAAGTGGAAAACATCAATATAACCACGCTTTCTTTCCCGGGGGGGGGGGGGGGGGGGGGCGCTTGTTTTGCCTATATAATTTAAAGAACTCTTAAAAGCCTAATTGGGGAAGGGGGGGGGGTCGATGTTTTGAATATTGCATGTTAGTCATACAACGAACCAATGCATCACCGTACTTCGAGAAAAGAAATATGGAATTAGAAATATTTGACAAAGCTTACACTTAAACTTTTCTAGATATTATACATGTTTAAGTGTACATGTAGGCTACAAATCCCCAAAGACTCTAACTTAAGAAAGGTTTTAAAGAAAATTAATGATTGTAAATGATAGTAAAAATATATTATATGCTATTTCAAATTGATTTAGATATAAAGCTTTCTTTTTGATTTGTGTAGCAATGCTTTTCGAAGATATATTTGCAAAAATACATAAGTAAGGGAATTTGTTCCAAGCATAACCTTGTTTATTGAAAGGTCTGTTGATTTTCCAAACATAACATTTACTATATAGAAAATTTTCAAAGGCTCCCTTTTTTATTGCATTACAGTCAAAGAAGGGTAGGCAAATAGAAAAAATGGCACTGAAAGAAGTTTGACAACTTTCTAAAAAAATAGATAAATTTGAATTTTTCTGCCCCCTCTTAAAATCATGTAAGTTGGTAAAAGTCAACTGCATATATAGACATCTTATTTCACATGCAATTTTAGATATTTAAAATGTATATTTTAGACATTTGCCACCATAAGTTTGTTTCACATCTCCGTTAATAAGGAAAATTTTCAAATAGCATCCGATGCGATGTTTTCAGTTATTAACCGGTGCCACTCTGATAGCAACCGTAACTTTAAAAAATCGTGTGCTCTCTTTTAAAATACACTTGTCAATTTTTAAAAATTATTTCTGAATTATTATAGGACGAATAAATTATCTGAATTATAGATGATGTAAAAAAGAAAAACTGTATTTATTGACTGAAGATTTGGTACAAAATTTTACCAAATTATTAGCATAAACAATACAAAGAATATGCCTTAAACACAGATTTGGGGCCTCACTGTTTTACAACTTGTTCTAAGAGTTTTCCACATATTTATTTCTGCTAAAAATTTTCAGCACTGAACGCGGTTTTGTTCCGATAGCAGCCGTTTAGGTACTACACCGTGTTATTGTATCCACCATAGAACGAAATGATGTTTTTAAACTGATATTTGTGTTTCATCAACTTGTTTGACAATAATTCAAATTACATGCTAACAATTAAACTCGTATGTTAAGGTATATTGCTGCATAAGTAAGGGAAGTGCAAAATAAGCTGAGTAATCAGATTTTCCTGATTGCTATATAGGCACTCAAACAATTAGCAATACATCAGGACTAAAGCAAATACGGACCTCTAAAATGGACCTCTTACATGTAAACATCGGTCATAATGCCATGAAGGATTGAGTATCCCCTGCCGAACGGCCACACCCGCCGTGTGCTCCTCGTCACTGATGGGAATAAATTATATGGAGAAAAAGAACAGTATTCAAGCTCAAAATTCCATGCATAAACAATACAAAGAATATGCAAACACAGACCTCCAAAACAGAGGTAGGATTGCAAATTACATGTAAACATGTTATAACATATTTGAAACATGATACTTTAATAAATTGTTTGATTGCATGTTGTTTACCGTCCCTCTCGAGAACTTTTCACTCATATGGAGACGCCACCATTTGCCAGTGGAGAGCTGCAAATTCTGTCCTATACTCCGCACTTACGGCTTTTGAGCAGGGAGGGATCTTTTTCGCGCCAGCACCTACTGCGACATTGCATGGGACCTCGGTTTATACGGTCTCATCCGAAGGACCGCGGTGTCCACGCCCCACAGTGGGATTTGAACCCGCAACATAAGGATCAACTCCTTACTTTGCGACTCTAATACAAACGCTCTACCACTGCACTGCGTGAGCGACGATATTCTAATAGAGAAGACGATATTGGTTATCAAACAGCAAAGCTTTAAGATAAACGTGATGATTATAACTTTTCAATTAAATTGTCAATGATCATATTGATCACAGAAATGATGATTTTTAACAAGACTGCTACTCTTGATTTGTCAACTTGTGAGTCAAAAACTTGCCTCAATTTTGAAAAGTTCTCATACGTAGACATGCTCTTGCGTATCGCATCAACTGAGAGATACCCTGGTATTAACCCCATCTTCAGGTGATAAGTGTATATTGTTGCATAAGAAAGCTAGGGAAGTTGACAATTTAACTGAAAAGTTAAGAGTCATCACGTTTATCATAGAGCTTTGCTGTTAGATTACGAATACCTCTTTTCTTATCTATTAAAATATCCAAACATGAAACAGATGTGTCAGACCCTGTGTTATCTTTTATTTCCAGCTCACCAGGATTTATCACTTCGAAATAAGAAATGGAAATAACTATTTTTAATTGATAATACGTCGTCGATATATCTAAATGTCCAGTTGAAAGCCACTCCAAGAATTTTTATTTCTTTTCACGTAAAAGATTTTGAATAAATTCTACTTCATTTGAATACAAAAATAGGTCTGCTAATAACAGGGCGCAATTTTGTTCCCATGGGAATTCCAAAACAGTTTTGGAAGACTTGTCTCCAGAAATATTATATATACCGTCAATATCAGAAACGTGACCATATTCAGTGTATTTGCATGTACATAAGATTTTTCTAAAAAGTTATATTGCAAATAACCAATGACAAGGTACAGAGCAGCTGTCAACATCAGCCAAGATACGTCAAGTTTATTGTCCCGACAATGGAGCTACAACTTGCAATATGATTGCTTTAATTATCATAGTTGATATCCTTGTCTCATCGACCTGTACGTCATTACCTTGTCTCATTGACTTGTAAGTCATTACCTTGTCTCATTGACTTGTAAGTCATTACCTTGTCTCATTGACTTGTAAGTCATTACCTTGTCTCATTGACTTGTAAGTCATTACCTTGTCTCATTGATTTGTAAGTCATTACCTTGTCTCATTGACTTGTAAGTCATTACCTTGTCTCATTGACCTGTACGTCATTACCTTGTCTCATTGACTTGTAAGTCATTACCTTGTCTCATTGACTTGTAAGTCATTACCTTGTCTCATTGACTTGTAAGTCATTACCTTGTCTCATTGACTTGTAAGTCATTACCTTGTCTCATTGACTTGTAAGTCATTACCTTGTCTCATTGACTTGTAAGTCATTACCTTGTCTCACTGACTTGTAAGTCATTACCTTGTCTCATTGACTTGTAAGTCATAACCTTGTCTCATTGACTTGTAAGTCATTACCTTGTCTCATTGACTTGTAAGTCATTACCTTGTCTCATTGATTTGTAAGTCATTACCTTGTCTCATTGACTTGTAAGTCATTACCTTGTCTCATTGACTTGTAAGTCATTACCTTGTCTCATTGACTTGTAAGTCATTACCTTGTCTCATTGACTTGCAAGTCATTACCTTGTCTCATTGACTTGTAAGTCATTACCTTGTCTCATTGACTTGTAAGTCATTACCTTGTCTCATTGACTTGTAAGTCATTACCTTGTCTCATTGACTTGCAAGTCATTACCTTGTCTCATTGACTTGTAAGTCATTACCTTGTCTCATTGACTTGTAAGTCATTACCTTGTCTCATTTGATAAATAGTTCATACACAAAGCATACCTTTTCCAACTGAATCAATATATAGACAAAAAATCCTTAATTATGCAGATGATAAGGCATAAATAAGGGAAACTGATGATTGACATGTTAATAAGTCAACAAAGTTATCATGTTTATTACAATAGCTGCAATTTAGCTCTTAAGAAAATGACCCTTGCACTGTATTTCCTTGGTATAAATGGAATATTATCTTAAAACAAAAGATGTATTTATTATTTACTATCTATGTCATATATGTTAAAACTGTACAGTATATCATGAAAAATCTTCAATTTTTATGCAATTTTTTTTAAATATGGTTTATGCAATATTCTTATATCATAATAGGGTTTATCTTCATCAAAATAAAGTTTTTGTTTTGTTTTTTTTACATTAAGTTAAAGCTCATAGTGATTTTAATATATGGTATGACACACATTCTACCCAAGATGCATTAATTGACCAAGTTTGATGACTTTATGTCTAATATTTTTTTCAGTTATCACTGTTCACATACAGAAATAGTCTAACCATCTGAATTATAGGTCATGGTGACCAATATGTATTACCTGACATAAAGTAGTTTGATTGTGTCTAAATCTCACTTTATTTAAGTTGAGATGGATATGAAAAGTTCTCACTGATGGTCACATGAATGTGAAGGCATGCCATAATACATCTCCAGAAGAGAATAAAGTATAAAACCAATAGTTTTGTCATCTTTAGGAAGACAGAGGGAGAAATCAAGGGGTACCCACACCCTGTGCAGAATGGCACATTCGAAAAATCAGGCTTAAAAAATGGAGAAAATAATTATCATTTCAAAATTGAAAATATTTTAATACTTTTAAATGAGAATGCATAACCTTAATAATTTTGTCTTAATGCATGTAAAACTTTCAATCTTAAAAGTTATTAATTTAAACAGATGAAAGGTTTTAAGGAAAATTCTATAGCTTCATTTCATATATTTTATATAATTTTATATCCTTAACATTAAGTTTCTTAAAAATCAAAAAATGAACAGTTACCAATTTATACAGAAGTACAGAAAGTAAACTTGTACATGTACACTCCTGTTGCAGAATTAAGACTTTTATAAACAAAAACAATTCTTAATCTCCTTAAAATGTGGAATTTCCTCCTAAAACTCCCAACAAAAACTGATTTTTTCCTCTACTTTCCCTTTAATAGTCCTCTCCTCGACTGATGACCTCCTTACACGTTGGTCTGAGAAGTATGGTGTGTTCAAACTGGGCCGTGTAACAACCCTTAGAGTCACACAGCGGGGGATAGGGATCAAGGATGCCAACGTCACACAGGTTTTTGAGAGCTATGAGGTATTTAGTCTGCCCCAGGCGATCCAGCCAGCGCCGACAGAAAGCTAATGTCCCAAAGTTCTGGTTTATCACATTCAGCAGTTGCTTTGATTTCTGTACCCTGTGTAATACAATGAAATAAATCAATGATCACCACAACATCAAAATGTATCTATAGCTGAAATATGTAAAAACTTGGTGAATGCAAGACTTGTTTTTTACAGAATCAATATATATGGTTTAAGATGCCACAATTACCAAATATGTACCATGATAAACGCATGTTGAAATATTTATTTATGACACCTGTATGTAAAATCCATTTACAAATGTGCTCAGCATCTATGCAGTTACATGTATTTAGACAGTGATTTTTTTTTAAGAATGAGTATTGCATACTTTAAAATTTGTAACATTTGAGAATACTACTTTTAATATGCTAAAAATAACCTTTTGACATTTACCTCAAGGGCACATGCCCAACATCAAAATTCTTCATATAATGAGACGTTTCCATATCGTCATGGACAACTCCTTTTCCTGTACTTCCAAAAGTCTCTATAGCATAAAATTCCATTTCCTAAGGGATGGAAAAATGAGAATAAATACTACTGTATACAGGGTTATTTTCGCCCTTTCATGCTTGCAAACAATTTTGCCCCGTTTTAAATTCGCCCATCCATAGTTTTGTTTAAGAGATTATACTGAATTGTTTCAATTCGCCCCGTTTTAAATTCGCCCAAATGAGAGAAGGGCGAAAGGGGCGAAAATAAAACGGGAGCGAAAATTTCCCTGTATACAGTATCCACTTATGATACAAATGAACTTCACAAGAGTCAAAGTAGAATCAAAATAAGGTCCAAAATTTTGTTACACAATAGTTTAACCTCAATGATATTCTACCCCTATTCTTAATGTCACTTTATACCTCCATTCTTGTAGCCTCCCCTCCCTTCACTATGGGGACTGTCTTCCCAGCATGGATATTGTACGGACTGATGGAGTGACCATTCAGATTGCGTATGGACTTAACTGGCAAAGAAAAAGGATATTCTGGTTGTACTTTTTTAAAACATATAAAAATTTTACAAACTGTAGTTATCATTTTTCGTACAGGTATTTCATTTTCTAAAATATTCTTCAGGAAGATGATGAAGCTTCTATCAAACAATTAAAGTACCTACTGCTTTTTCTGTTCTTGTTTTTTTTCTTGGTTTTTGTTTGTTTTTTCATTTGTCTCCTATTACAGATAGGTTAATTTCAGTAATTGATTTAACATGTAAATTAATTTACCCTGATATGTTTTGCCATCTAGTTCCACCTCATATGACTCCATGACTTCTTGGATTCGCTCCCCAATATCACATAATCTAACGTCAATGCCTGCTTCCTGTAGAAGGGAAAAAGAAAGATAATTGAAAAAGAGTTGCCTTTTTATTTTCCTCGAGACAACACTGATAACCACCTATATGGATTTTTAAGGATAAATACAGAGTATATCATACTTATGTACATGTACATGTAGCAGAGAGGTATTTTTAAATTATAAAGCAAAGAGCACCAGAATATTTTTTTTTCATTCTAGAATAACATTTCATATATGTAACGTGCGGATGCGCTAACTGGACTGTCTTCAACAAGTCAAGAACTCCATTGAAAGTTTATAAATTTATTTTACAGGACACAGAAATAAAACAATACTGTTCAACATTTCACAAAATCTCTGGTGTTTCACAAATTCATAAAAACCTCTATAACTGGAGTCTTATCCAGTAATTAATTATTTCATGTGCAAGTCTAATTCTCTTAGACCTATTAAAATCCTAAGTTTAATCCTAAACTGGTAATGAACCAGTAATCATGAAAAATCTACACCAGTAATATACTGGTAAATAAATATTATTCAATCTCTGAATAAAGTTTTCCCCCACACCACTTAATACTATCAAATTATTTAACCCAAAGAACTAAATTAAACACACACCTTGATACAGTGGTGTAATCTGCTGTCTCTAATCTACTCTACTGTCTGCAACTCTCGTTCTTACTATATATACAACATGAAATACTACGAAATACGATAAAATACGATAACCAATCAGAAACATCGCGCACCTGATCATCAACCAATCACAGGCGATACGCGATAACCTTATTCCCACGACTACAAAAAGTTGTGCACATGTTTCACCATAAAATAGAAACAAGTAAAATATTATAACTACTTTGTAAACAAAATAACTTTCGTAATAATTAAAGAAGATTGACATACAATTAATTAAATAAATCGCCGCTTACAACTTTTAACATTTTAAGAAAAATGCATTCTGGGAAACCGCACTTCCGGAATAACAAACCATGCGGCGAAAGAGAAAACATACCAGGTAACAATTTACCAAATAATCGCTAAACAAACACTGTTTTAATTATGTGATCATGTATACAATATAGGAAGCGATAGATAACAATTAATTTAACATCATAACAACATTAAAATCTCGAAAAGCAAAGAAAATAACGTATGCGGCAATACACATCGTCTGACAGAATTCGGGGGTCGTATCAAAACACAATGCACACACAAAAAAAAAATGTATTCAAGTAATACAGTTAAAACTTCGTGATTATAATATCACTGTAACAACATTTGTCACAATATATGTTACATGTATTTACCTTAATTCCTGTATTTGTGGCATCTTTGACTGCTTGTAGTAATCTGTCATACTTTGGATTGAAAGACAGGGTGAAAGCACAGTCAATGATTCTACCTGTGGAAAGCAATCCAGGTGTCTTATGAAATAATCATGGCTAGTTCAATGCATGCATCATTGCTAAGGTATTTCTCCTACTGTCTAGGACATTAACACACATTTTTTCAACTTCATACATCTTAAGTGTTCAAATGCATTTCTTTATATTCATATCAATTGAATTTTAAAAACTACATTTACATTTTATTTAGTGTAGCAAGGAAGTTTTTCAAAGCTTTTATGTACATGTATAAATTCTTAGATTCAGAAACGAAACTACTTAAAGGTAAATACAATGTCGACTAAAAAAATACCATTTATATGAGTTCCAAAGTCAATTTTGCAGACATCGTCCACCCCTAAAACTGTTGGATCCCCAGCATTTGGTGTATAGTGAGCAGCACAGTGGTTGAGAGAGCAGCCGGTGGGGAACGCTAGCCCTGCCTTCAGACCATTCTCATTGATCAACTTCCTGGACGTGGATTCTAAAGTCTCACTGAAATATTACAAATATTACAAACTCAAACATAAAACACATTTGAGAAATTCAAACAAAAAAAATATCTTTTTGTCTATTTAATATTTTTTTTAAAAAAACTTACCAAATATCAATCATGGTCATTCCTGGTTTTATGTATTCTTTCATATATTTTCTAGTCTAAAGAAATAGAGAAGGTTTAGTTTAAATCAAAATATGACATTTAAAACTATAAATCAGATCAAACTCAATTAACATCCACCATTTGAGGTCAACTTTTAAAAAAAATTTTTTTCTTTGCCCTCTCTTGACTCTGGATGAAAAATAATGGTTGGCACGTTGGTGGAATTTTTTTTTACAGAAATTTTTTAATATCAATCCTGAATTTACAAAATCTATAATATTTTATTTTTTGGAATGCATCATGTTCACTAGCCAAGGGTTTCTGATACGCTACTCTCCTCATGAACCCTTGGCATACAGAGAAGTAAAAAGACGGGATTGTTTTTGTCACGTGTTCTCGAATCTATCAAGTACGCACAGATTGCGTCATCGACAGAAATAAAGACACGTGTTTAAAAAGAAAAATAAATCCAAGTTTTTTCAAAAATAATTAAGAAGCAATAATTGAGTTATGTTTATTTATTATTTATAGTACAAATTGGAAGCTTCAATACATATTCTTAATCACCTATTTAGAAGATATTGGATGTCACCATAGCTATGTCATCTTACGGGTCGTTGTTTACTTGCGTTTTTTATTTCTGAGATTAAAGAGTCAAGAAGTATCCCAAACGCAAATATCGTCATTTACAAAAAACAATTGCTGATTGATTGACCAGGTGTACCGAATCCCAATCAGAACTGGAAAAAAAACAACTTTTATCAACACCATATGCCAAAGGATTATGAGGAGATTAGCGTATCAGAAACCCTTGGCTAGCGAAGATGGGAATGCATAAAAAATATCTTTTTTCTTGTAAGTTAAAAAAAAAAATCTGAATCTGTCCATTTTTAGCACGTCAGTCTGGAGTGGATGACCTAAAAAAATTTTTTAAAGATGGCCTCAATTGAAAATTCCTCTCTATTTTATTAAAGTATTAAATGGGGTTAATATGACTACTGTGTGTACTTAAAAAAGCTGCCTTTACAATTTAGCGGCATTGGCTTGGACAACAATGCAAGCAATTCCTGAATACTGTAAAAAATCATTTATCAATACAGTATATGGTGCAGATGTGTGAAGCACTCATTCAGAATTTTGCCAAAGACTCAATATCTAGTGACTGCACTCAGATTTGGAAACCTCAATATATGTATGTACAGTATTTTTTGAATGTGACTTTAACCCCTCTCTTCTAAACACAACCATTTATAACAGGTATTAACATCACCAGCAGAGAAGGCTATATAGATACTGCTTTCCCCTAGCAACAGAGTAAGAGGGGATATAGTTACGTGCTTGTGTGTGTGTTATTTTGTCTTTTTTGTAGAACAGAGGTGACATAATTTGCAACGATATCATCGTCCAAAGCTGCCTTGATTTATAGAGATATTCTTAGCGAGGAAATGTTCTGCTTTACAGTGACTTTGTTGTATAAAGAGTATCTTGTCTGACCCCCTGATAATACTGAAAACTGTCTAATCCAACACCTTTGCAATCCATCACAAAATTTCTTTCCCATTCCCTTAATTTCATGTTTGTTTACACAGTGCAATCCGACCCTATCTACTGGGTATTCAAACACAAAATTTGTCTCCCAGTGCATGTTGTAAGTCACAGGTTTTACTGTATATGTAATTGTTGGCCCTGATTCCCTTCACTGATTAATCGTTACAAGAGAAGTGTTATTACATTACCTGTCTGTGTGCCTCTGCAGCTTGCCTGACCTCCTGGTAAATGTAATTGTTGGCCCTGTCTAGAGCTCGCTTCTCCTCGTTTGTCATTCTGTCTCTAGCTGTTGTGCTGTGTAAACAAAGGATAAAAATACTTCAAAATCAAAGATTTAATACTGTGGAAGAACAAAACTGATGTTCACAATGAAATTTTTTTTATATTTACACTATCTGTCAAAGTTGTTAATTCTTTCCATTCTTGTAAAAATATCTGTCCAATGTCATGTTAAAAGCATTAGAAGAGGATTAAATGATTAATTTACAAGAGACATATTTTTCTGGGATTAATTCCTGCAATGTACAATTTTTAGTCCCCTACCAATGAAACCAGAGGGGGTTATAGGTTTCCTCTGCGTCTCTCCGTCCGTCTGTCTGTCAGTCTGTCCCACTTAGTTTTCTGCACTTTTTTTCTAAACACTTGCAGATATTGAGCTTATTTTTGGTATGTGAGTGTATCCTGATGAGTTACAGATCAAGTTTGAATGTGGTTTCACTTCACTGATTTTTGACAAAATTATGGCATTTTTAATTTTTCATAATGGTTTAAGGTCATACGCAACGTAGTTTGAACTTTATTGGGTTCTTCCACTAAATGAAGGACATGTGTGCAATATTTTTGATGTCTATATATGGATTTGTACACTTCTTCTAAAACAATTCTTGATGAAAAAAAATCCGTAGTTTATGTTTTGTAATTTTTGTACATTTTTCTTTGAATAATACAAAAAATTTCAAAATTTTATATCTTTTCAAAACCCTGGTAAGGCATGCTGATTTTTTTGTCTAAGAACATGTAATGGTATTATAAGTTTACATTTAGAATATCTTGAAAAATTATCAGTAGGTACATTGCGTATGTCTTTAAGATCAGGCTCGTGCTGCGCTAAATTCCGATGGTCAACATGGTAAATATAAAGCAAGAAAAGACGTTGAAAAAAATTAGTTGAATTTTCATCCTTGTGTGAATTATTTTATAAGGTTAAAGGCATTCACAACCTCAAAATCAAGCAGTTTTACCTTGGACATAACTTTTGCACATTATGAAATGACATTCTTAAGAAAAAGGGGAACCTGGTAGGGGACATGTATTGTTTATGCAATACATGCAATACTCTCAGAATGCTTGTTTCTGAGTAAATTTGTCAGAGTATTTACATGAAAATAGTGCAATTATGATTGATATTGTCAATCTAAAAATTCTGTGTTCCTTTCTTCAACTCTGAGGAATGAGTACTTTTTATGCAATGTATCATATATATGCAGGTTATTACAGTTTTTGTACATAGAAAGTGATCAAAGGGCACTTAGACTTTTTTCCAATCCAAGACTTCTTATTTTACTGCTGGAATAAAACTGAAGTCTACTCCTGATTATGGTGAGAATTACCTGTCCTGAACCACTGGGTAGTCCATTATCTCCCCCTCTGGAAAGTTTCCCTCTGGGAACAGTTCTGATATTGGTAAGGAAGGGGGATTGGTCTGTTGTTTTTGTCCTGTAAAAGATCTAACTTTAAATACTGAGGGTCAAAATTATTTAAGCATTTATGATCATTCACTGAAAATAGACATGATAGATTAGAGGCAAAACAAGATATGGATACTGACAGTTTAATGGAATACTTGTCCCTGTTAGATATAATGGATTCCCAGACTGTGTGTTCACATTTCAACATACATACATCAATGAATTCATTAGAAATACCTGTATTCTTTTTCTTCTTCTTCTTTTTCTTCTGTACCTCCCCTTCTCCTTCCTCCGCTCCTGTAAACATGGCCATTATCTTAATCTTGTTAAAATAAAGCATACTATGTCCACCTTGAATGTCTCACATATGCTCCCTGCAGAGACATTATTTAAAAAAAAATTTTTTTTGTTCTTTTCTGAATTTAATAAGATCAGCTAGATAGAAATTATGTAAATCAATATTTTTCTAGATGAATCTAATGTCAAAATAAATTATGTCAGCACAACAGATGTTATCATCCTATGACTTGCCTTTCTCTGGTGAACCATTTATGTTCTGTTTCTCCAATGTGTCTGTGATTTCATTCATAGCACTTGTGTCCCCTTCACCTCCCTCATCTAGAATCAAAAATTAATAATGAACATTTTAAATAATTCAAAAAGTAAGTGAAACATTTGGTATTTTAACGCTTTATCACTAAAATCACGGAGTTTACATATGGTATAGGGAGTACCGTGGAACAGCCCCGCTTATGGCTTAGCTTTAAAAATCTATATTTCTGCAATATACAGTGTTTAAACTACAAAAGACACGACACATTAATGTGGTCTAGATAAGTATTTCATTCATTAGTTAAGGGGCAATATCCCTCTTCTAAGAGAGATAACTTTCTGAATACAATTTCCCATGAAATTCAACGAATTGTCATGTCAGATTTCATAGATTCCATTCACAGGCAACTTAATCGAATCTGTTACAATGTTCAGAATTGAATTTCTAGTTTCTATTGCCAACATTTTTATTAATTATTTATAATAGTTTACCTCAAACATTTAAACTCAGGTCCTTTAAACGGTGTAAATTGAGATATTTCTATCTCTTAACGTATCAGTTATTTAATTGATACAGAAATTTCAGATACAGACTTGTTTATAAACATTTTATTAATATTTTGTTTCACTAACTAAAAATATTTTCAAGGGCAATAATGGAAAGATAACTCTTGATGATTGATGCGTATTATTTTACAAGCACAGAAAACAATTTAATATTTAAGGAATGAAGCTAATTTCAACTTATGTTATACGATATAACATATCTTGGGGCAGTTTCTGCTTTATAAACCGCGAAGCGGTTTATAAAAAAGCATAACCTGCCCCAAGTTATGTTATATCGTATAACAAAAGTTGAAATTAGCTTCATTCCTTGTAATTTAATTTCAGTGTAGACAATGAGACAATTTTTCCTCTGGAAAAAGGCCTTTAAATAAAGCATATTTTAAAAGTAACGTCAAGCGGAGTAAATACGTTTTTGACGTAACTCATTGTGACGTAGGCAAGTTATGTTATACAAAATATTATATGTTCCTCTGAATGATTCAGCCGATGAAATTGCTTGATACAAGTGAAATTAAATTATTCTGATTTAAAAAGCAATGCTTCAGTATGTTTTATAATGAGAATTAAATAATGTAGAAAAGTTAAACTTATTTAATTTCAGTCAGACTTTTACAAAACAAAGTAATCTACCTATTTACATATAATATTCAAAAAATGTTTATTACTTTTTCTTTTAAAAAAGTGTAAAAAATATTTTATTACTGTAAACAAAATCAATATATTGAAACAGAATGGAAATTCTTTTTTTTTTTAATTCCATTCAATGGGTATATTACTGAAATTAGTCCCATCTTTCATTACATGTATTTTATTTCTTGGGATTACAAGTTTCAAAAGAAGATATCCAGAGATTAGACTGTATTTTCGATTATAGTAACGTTTACATATTGTCTAGACTTTAAATGTTTGCCTTTGTATAGTAAAACCTCGTAATATTGTCCATTTCCTGTTATTAGTCTGACCTAGTGATGGAACGATTGTCGCCGACAATCGATTGTCGGTCGTTAGGAGCTCTTTGATGCTACTAATCGATTATAAAATAAATGTCGCCGACATCGCTAACAAAAAATAAAATTGTCATACTTTAATTTTATTACCAAATCGAAGTACAAGGAGCATAAAAGCAGTGATGAACGTTGAAAACATGGAAGGACTCCGTGTCTTGTTGATACTTTTACCGCCATGATTAAATATGGGGTTAGACTAATACCAGGAAATGCTAATTTGCAAGGTTTTACTATACAAAGGAAAACATAATTAGTCTAGTTAATCTTTAAACGTAATTATTATCATAAATACAAGTCTAACTTCTGGATGATTACTTTTAAGACTTGCAATTTTATTATTTTAACTAATTAAAACTAATTCTAAGAAAATGAAAGAAAAAGTGAGCTAGCTCACATACCCCACACTCCCCCAAAACTTGACAGTGAAACACATAATGAAAGGCACAGCTAGTGCACTTTAAATACATAGTATAGATCAAAAACGCAATAATTGCAAAAAAATCTTCACATCAAAATGTCTTGCATATGAGGACATTTAAATGTGGAATGAAGTTTCTAGATAAATAATGGAATCAAAATTTCTTGGCATTATACAATTCCAAACATTAATTTGAAGTGGTTGGGGTGGGGGGGGGGGGGGGGGGGGTGGGGTGAGAAATTTTCTTCAATAATACGCAAAACTCTTTGGGATAAAATAATGGAATATGCATGTCCTAAACATCTGCATAGGTTGACAAAACTATGTACAACAGTTTAAGAGGAGTGGTGCTGACAAACTGTTCATCTGTATATTCAAAATATGGCCAAAAAGTCTAAGTTGGAAAGTGTGGAAATTCCCGGAAAAATAAAGGAATCGGAATTTCCTGGTAATATGAACATCTACATATTGTGTCCTAAATATCTGCAAAGTTTAACGAAATTCTGTGCAGCGGTTTATGAGGAGTTGCGCTGACAAACTGTTCATCTCTATATAAAAGGTATGGCCAAAAACCTAAGTTTTTAGTACGGGAAGTCCCGTAAAATATAAAGGAATCGGAATTTCCTGGTAATATGCACATCTACATATTGTGTCCTAAATATCTGCAAAGTTTTAACGAAATTCTGTGCAGCGGTTTACGAGGAGTTGCGCTGACAAACTTTTCATCTCTATGTAAAAGGTATGGCCAAAAACCTAAGTTTTCAGTGCGAAAAGTCCCGGAAAAAATAAAGGAATGGGAATTTCCTGGTAATATGCACATCTACATATTGTGTCCTAAATATCTGCAAAGTTTAACGAAATTCTGTGCAGCAGTTTATGAGGAGTTGCGCTGACAAACTGTTCATCTCTATATAAAAGGTATGGCCAAAAACCTAAGTATTTAGTGCGGAAAGTCCTGGAAAAAATAAGGGAATCGGAATTTCCTGGGAATATGCACATCTACATATTGTGTCCTAAATAACTGCAAAGTTTGACGAAATTCTGTGCAACGGTTTATGAGGAGTTGCGCTGACAAACTGTTCATCTCTATATAAAAGGTATGGCCAAATGCCTAAGTTAAAAAGTGCGGAAATTCCCGGAAAAAATAATGGAATCGGAATTTCCTGGTAATATGCACATCTACATATTGTGTCCTAAATACCTGCAAAGTTTGACGAAATTCTGTGCAGCAGTTTATGAGGAGTTGCGCTGACAAACTGTTCATCTCTATATAAAAGGTATGGCCAAATGCCTAAGTTAAAAAGTGCGGAAATTCACGTAAAAAATACCGGTAATGGAATCAAAATTTCCTGGTAATATGCACATCTACACATTGTGTCCTAAATATCTGCAAAGTTTGACGAAATTCTGTGCAGCGGTTTATGAAGAGTTGCGCTGACAAACTGTTCACCTCTATATAAAAGGTATGGCCAAATGCCTAAGTTAAAAAGTGCGGAAAGTCCCGAAAAAAATAATGGAATCGGAATTTCCTGGTTATATGCACATCTACATATTGTGTCCTAAATACCTGCAAAGTTTGACGAAATTCTGTGCAGCAGTTTATGAGGAGTTGTGCTGACAAACTGTTCATCTTTATATTCAAGGTATGGCCAAATGCCTAAGTTAAAAAGTGCGGAAATTCCCGGGAAAAATAACGGAATCGGAATTTCCTGGTAATATGCACATCTACACATTGTGTCCTAAATACCTGCAAAGTTTGACCAAATTCTGTGCAGCAGTTTATGAGGAGTTGCGCTGACAAAAAAAGAGGACTGACTGACTGACTGACGGACTGACTGACTGACGGACGGGTCAAAAACATTATACCTCCCGCAACTAGTTGCGTGGGGTATAAGTATACTTTTTTCTTTGTGAAAATAAAGAGATGATCGAATCATTTCTTTCAAAAGACATGAATTACAACATTTTCACACAACGACTTTTAAAGATATTACCTGTTATGCATGTCGGAATTGTTAAAAATACAACAAGAACAAGAGGCCCATGGGCCACATCGCTCACCTGAGCACCAAGGGTAGGACTAGTATAAAATGGCTTTTTATTGTAAAGTTTAAATCCAAAAGTAGTCCCATGACCAATCATGGATTTGCTATTTTTTAGAAAATGATTGAGAAGAAGATTTTTAAAGAATTTTCCTATATATTTCTATGTATAACTTTGGTTGGCCATTTTGGCCCCGCCCTACCCCCGGGGGTCATGATTTGAACAAACTTGAATCTACACTACCTGAGCATGCTTCCATATAAATATGATCAATTATGGCTTTGTCATTCTTGAGAAGAAGATTTTTAAAGAATTTTCCTATATATCTCTATGTAAAACTTTGGTCGGCCATTTTGGCCCTGCCCTACCCCCGGGAGTCATGATTTGAACAAACTTGAATCTACACTACCTGAGCATGCTTCCATATATATATGATGAATTATGGCTTTTTCATTATTGAGAGGAAGATTTTTAAAGAATTTTCCTATATATTTCTATGTAAAACTTTGGTCGGCCATTTTGGCCCCGCTCTACCCCCGGGGGTCATGATTTGAACAAAATTGAATCTACACTACCTGAACATGCTTCCATATAAATATGATGAATAATGGCTTTGTCATTCTTGAGAAGAAGATTTTTAAAGAATTTTCCTATATATTTCTATGTAAAACATTGGTCGGCCATTTTGGCCCCGCCCTACCCCCGGGGGTCATGATTTGAACAAACTTGAATCTACACTACCTGAGCATGCTTCCATGTAAATATGATCAATTATGGCTTTGTCATTCTTGAGAAGAAGATTTTTAAAGAATTTTCCTATATATTTCTATGTAAAACTTTGGTCGGCCATTTTGGCCCCGCCCTTACCCGGGGGGTCATGATTTGAACAAACTTGAATCTACACTACATGAGCATGCTCCCATATAAATATGATGAATTATGGCTTTGTCATTCTTGAGAAGAAGATTTTTAAAGAATTTTCCTATACATTTCTATGTAAAACTTTGGTCGGCCATTTTGGCCCCGCCCTACCCCCGGGGGTCATGATTTGAACAAACTTGAATCTACACTACCTGAGCATGCTTCCATGTAAATATGATCAATTATGGCTTTGTCATTCTTGAGAAGAAGATTTTTAAAAATTTTCCTATATATTTCTATGTAAAACTTTGGTCGGCCATTTTGGCCCCGCCCTTACCCGGGGGGTCATTATTTGAACAAACTTGAATCTACACTACATGAGCATGCTCCCATATAAATATGATGAATTATGGCTTTGTCATTCTTGAGAAGAAGATTTTTAAAGAATTTTCCTATATATTTCTATGTAAAACTTTGGTCGGCCATTTTGGCCCCGCCCTACCCCCGGGGGTCATGATTTGAACAAATTTGAATCTACACTACCTGAGGATGTTTCCCCATAAGTTTCATCTTTCCTGGCACAGTGGTTCTTGAGAAGAAGATTTTTAAAATTTTCATTAATTCCCAATTATCTCCCCTTGAATAAGGGCGTGGCCCTTCATTTGAACAAACTTGAATCCCCTTCACCCAAGGATACTTTGTGGCAAGTTTGGTTGAAATTGGCCCAGCGGTTCTTGAGAAGAAGTCGAAAATGTGAAAAGTTTACAGACAGACGGACAGACGGACAGCTAGACGGACAGACGGACAAAATGTGATCAGAAAAGCTCACTTGAGCCTTCGGCTCAGGTGAGCTAAAAACGGGGTGAAACTTACATTGTGCTCCTTTATTATTTTTCATGCGAGATGAATTACAATGAATTTGCCTTCATTTTAAAGATACAAGTCCTATAAATTAAATACTTGTTGATTTTGAATGTGATTTGACATTTTTGGTTCTTTTTAGCGCATATTTGGAGTAGAACAATAGTGTCTGAAAATAATCTATTTTTAGCATTTCACACTGTTTTTGCACATGCTCCTGTGTAAAAATAAGCATATAATGATATTGTTTTTAATGCCTAAAATTAAACTCAGATTTGACTCAGAAGCATACAAACGCTTTTTTTTGTATCAATGTATACATAGATTTCAAGCACGAATTTGATGACAACAACACAAGATTTCCAGTGATTACATTGGTTATGATAAATTTAGTCAACATCACTGCAAAGAAAAAGGTGATACAGCTTTTAATAATTATATGAAAACGTTTGGCATCGTCTATCAAAGCACAGGAGCTCACAATTTTATCAATAAAGTCAAGAGAAATCACTCGATTGACAAAGCCATGTGGCACATCTCTACTTTCGTTTTTGATCATCGCGGGAAATATGATGTATATAGCCTAACGAAAGATAGGAACTTGTTTTAGATCTAGTTTAAACCATGTCATCATTTGTTTTGTTTAACAACTGAATGAACATTCAGAATTATTGCTTCTAGGCAATATTGGCAAAGATCACTTCAAAAGGCTAAGTTAAACAGCCAATCCAAGCAAAATGATGAGCATGAAAAATATTTGAATTTGTACAATTTATATCAAACTTAGGTATTTCTGTCTCTTCTTTGCAGTTAATATTTAAGATTAATTATTGTAAGTTTCATTTAGGGCTATATACATGTATATATTACATGAAATATGTCGGTAATCCAAGCGTAAAACAACGTACGCGCAATGCTACCGCTTTTGAGGTCTCAATCTCCCTATTTTTCAGCATAATAGGTTAACATGTATGCCTTAACTTCACCAACTATCACTTTAATCCTTCACGTAATACACAAAAATGACATGTCATGCATACGTAGATGCAGAACAGAAGCAATTTTTTAGATATGGCGCCTAATTCGTTCCACAGACAATACTTACCATTCTTCTTCTTCTTTTTCTTCTTCTTCTTCTTTTTGGGAGCGTCGGTGGCGTCTACATCGTTAACAATCTCTTTGTCATTCTCATTTTCCTGCTCCAGATTCTCTTTTCCAACGACGGATTCATCCTCAACGTCCGCCATGCTTTTTCTCTTTATAGGAAAGGGTTAGGCTTATGTCAGCTACATGTAAAATCAGCTTATATTGTTGTACTCAAGTAGTTAAACGGATTGTTTGACATGCCTAATATGAGACTTAACTTTTAAAATACAAAATATGAATATTTGACGACAAACATAAATATAATGAGATACGCTTTTTTCCACATCATTAAAAATATATGTTTCACATGTTATTTACGTCAATTAGGCCGTCAGGGTCGAGTGTGACTAAAATGGGTATTAAAACATGAGCCGGGCCGGGAATTTGTAAACTGTGCTAATTTCTGAAAAATATTTTATTCCTTATCACGATACTTTCAGATGTAATTAAATACAGCAAAATCTTAACATGCCATTTTATGAGCTTTATTACCAAGTACATGTAGGATATTTAATTTGTTCAATGATTATTAACGATTGACATTTTCCCAATGGTTAAAAATTGGCAGGCCTAGTGAACAGTGGCAAAGTCGGTTTATTCCTTTTGGGAAAAAATGCCTTTATTTTCTACAATCGGTAAATATTTATAAAATTAATTAAATTTTTTAGCAGTTTAAATTTATTTTTATCAATCCTACACACGAAACTACAATGACTTAAATAATATTAAGAGCAAAAGTTAAACATGTTATACAGATTGGGTTTACTGCCCATTTTACTTTTTTAGTCACCGGGAAAATCAATAAAAGACGTAATATCGGAGTTGAAAATCTCTGTGAAGGCATAATAATTTTATTGTATTTGATAACACCCGAAAGTTTCATTTTTTTTTTGGGGGGGGGGGGGGGGGGGGCTTTGTTATTAGCAAACCCCCCCCCCCCCAAATTTTCAGTTTCAAAATGCCACTCCGGCCCGATTCTGATTTTAGTAATACACATTTTTGTCCCGCTCGACTTGCTGTAATTTATGAAAATTATTTGCTTTTCTTACTTGAATACATTTATAGATCGATAAGCGAGAGGTGACAGTAGGAAGGGTTTTCCAATATTCGATACCGGTACTTTTAAATTTTGCAAACTTTTCACGATGCACAAATATTAGCGGTATTCGCAGCGATTAAATTCGCAAAAGTTCTTTGCATTAACATGAATAGATTAAACCAGAATTGCTTTGATTGTGCAAAATAATCTGCCCTTCAAATTCTCTTCCCAACATATACATAGTTTTACTATCAAAACATAATTACAGTGGAGCCTCATTTATCCGGACGCTTTGGTTCCCAAGCAAATTGTCCGGATAAGTGAAGCGTCCGGATATCTGAATTCTATTAATTTCTCTTCCAGGTATACTGTATTTGTATTGTAACTCTTATATATAAAGAAAGATAAATAATATCATATAGAAATAATAATTTATTATTCTAAAATGGTGATTTTCTCCTCGTCAATAACAAACTGCCTTAAATCTTGCAATGAAGAACGTGGAAGATCTATTTTGCGTTAGCAGATTTTTTTCTTTAAGCTGGCGGAAATGCCGACTCGTGCTCTCTTTGCTGGCGGTAGACATGGTTGTAGCTGGAGAGCAGAATGACGAACATTAGATATAACGCTGCTTATATGGGCAGATTTTTAATTACCCAGCTTATTTTTACTTTCTACTTCCTATAAATTGATGAACATAGCCAAGCGAATTCTCTCATTTGCAGCTTTGATTACACCCAAGCGAGCTGTCAGTATCGAGTCTAATTTTAATTTGAATACTCATCCACGCTAAATCTGACATATTAAAAATTCACGCAGTAATCTTCCCAAGCGAAATCATTGATTGTCTAAAATTATTCAAATTTGATTGAACGTTTTAGTTTTTTTTTTTCGATGATAACTGCCACCAATCAACAGATGAAAATTACACAATACCGATTTGTGTGTGCACATGTGTAGATAACGAGATTATGAAACTATTTCGTCCCGTCTATAAATATAAAAATATTTAAAACCAGCTCTGTACTAAAATTATAAATATCTCGCAGATAACAAATAAGTGAATAGAAAACTGTTTTCTGTTATCGACACAGTTAATTGTTTATTTTCATTTGTGTATCGATCCGTGTATTATGACCATATGGCATATCCACTTAGCATGCTTAATCTGTGGACTAATCATCGTAAGTCATTCATAACAGGTCACAGGTGATCGTCTTGTAAAAACAATCAATCCGTATGTATTTTCTTCCATAGACGTCGGAAGCAAATTGAAAGTGGAGAGGGGGGCTATAATTGAAAGGGGGGGGGGGGGTAAACCAACAAAAAAGGTAAACCCAAATTTTCAATGCCTATATTATGTATATCTTTGCAAAAAGTGGGGGGCTAAGCCTCCCTAGAACCCCCCCCCCCCCCTCCCAGTTCCGACGCCCATGTCTTGTTCAGATTATATGACTTGATAACGAATGAAGAAAACAGGTGACTGGTTTTGTTCGAGACATTTTGCATATTTTATTGAAATGCAATTCTTGGAACTGCTAGGTATCCTGAAAAATATGCCTGGAACACATCGTGCGCATAGTTATCCATCAAAACTTATACTGCGCAACCTATTTAAGACCCAGAACGGAAATAAGAGACTTCGGATCGTCGATTGCTCCAAGATTAAAATCGGAAGCATAACTCCAGCAAGCTAACAAATACGTATATAACGCTCCCTTCAAACATGCCGTATTGCAACCACTATTGAAATACTTATTTCAGTAGTGGTTGAGAGTGCATTTCAACAACAAAGTTAACATAGGTTGCAACCACTATTGAAATAATGATCACTTTTGAAATAAAGATTTTAGCAGACGTTCTGATAGCGTTTCAATTTCAAAATATAAATCAAGTTTCAACCACTCTTGAAATAATGTTCACTATTGAAATAAAGTTTTCAATAGTGATTGAAATAATGATTTCATAAGAGATTCAAATAATTATATTGATAGTTGCTGATAATTCAACCAATTCTAAAACCACATTACAAAACTTATTGAAATAAATTACGTGTTAAGAAATATAAGGATTAATTGTTAATAATGTTTTTCAACATTTTAAATTCATTTTTTTTTAGTTTATCATTAAAATTTCAATTACTTGTGAATGATTATTTCAAAAGAAGGTGAAACTAATTTTTAAAACATCGGCACATTTTAAGTCACTACTGAAGTAACACCTACCATTGTAATAAACCTAACACTAATTTCCCTAGAAAATTAGCTTTTAATGTATTGACTAGTAGACGTTGGATTTACTATTTGTAGTTAGGTAGTTCCATGGATATGAGCGACAATATACTTTTATTCTATATTCTTTTTATTAAAAATAACCACATGTTCATCAGAAAGTTTGTACACAAAAGTATCAGCCTTCTTTCTTCTTTTAAGTGTAGTCTAGATTCTAGTACTCTAATTTCTACATCTAGATGATGTCTTCCTTTCAAAATCAATGACAAATATGAACTGTATATAACAAAAATATTTCAAAATTTAAAATTATTAATTGATTGTCTGTTGGTTTTCGCCGGTTCGGCCAGATGCTGAAGCAGCTTGCTTATAACATTTGCATACATGTTTGAATTATAGGTAGGTCAGTTTGATAAAAAGTGTCCGTATGTCATGTTCTAAATTTTGAATTTACCGGGGGTAAATTTTGTATTTACTGCCACTCGGTAAATTGTTTAAAGGTACTTGGACACAGCTTCACACAAAACTTAATTGAAAATCTTATCTTATTTAAAAGTAATTATAAAACTTCAAATTTTTGGTGGGTTCACTTAATTGACACATCCTTGCACTTCACAAACTTTAATTTTATTCTTAATACTTAGGAAAAGTGGCAATCTTGTTGTGAATAATTGAAAAATATTAATACTATAATCCAGAAAATTCAGAGTAGACATGTTCGAAAGCAAAACAAACATACGATATATTGTCAGTCCGTGTAGTTGTGGTGAGCAGACTTTGAAGATTGAACGCACCCGGTGAATCGTAAACATCAACAATAACAGAGCTCGTGCCTGTTTACATAAACACGAGTGTGATCGTTTTGCTAAACTCTGTACACAACACTTAGCTCGGAATGACGATATTTGTAAAGGAGTTTTGCTTTCTAACATTTCTACTCTGAATAAAATTATTATGTGCATAAATTGCTATGGGGAGATGATTCCTTATCTTTGCAGGAAAATGAAAAAATATTCGGTATTGTTCAAAAATTTATTCAGGAATCAGGTCCTATTAATTAACACTAAATTGTATTATCTCTATTGAAATTATTATATTTTTATAATATCAACACTGTATTTATTATCACCATTATTAATAATTGATATTATTTCCTTATTCATAAAATAATTGTCTTTGTTCTTCTATGTACATGTATATATTATTGTAAAATTTTGTAAATGTTGTATGGCTATTCAGATTTTATGTATGGGAGAGGACTATCTAAGTTGTTAGAACTTGTGTCCGATCCCTTTGACATATTGTCAATAAAATATGTTCAAAACAAACAATAAAATTATTTTTCTGGATAAAAGTTTTAATATTTCTCATTAATACACAAGATTGCAACTTTTCCTAAGGATTAAGAATAAAGTTAAAATTTGTGAAAGTGCAAGGATGTGTCAATCAAACCCGCCAAAAAAATTGAAGTTTTAATAACTTTTAAATGAAATAAGATTTTTAATTAATTTTTGTGTGAAATGCTATTAAATTATATAAGTCGTGATATTATACAGAAAATATTAACTTCAAATCTGTGTCCAAGTACCTTTAAAGTACTACTGAATTCAATATTTCAATCACTTTTGAAATCTATATTTTAATCATTATTGAGGTCTTTATTTCAAAAGTGAACATTATTTCCATAGGGGCTGCAACCTGTGTTTGTTATTGAAATGCACTCTAAACCACTATTGAAATAAGTATTTCAATAGTGGCCGTATTTCAATAGTGGTTGCAACTTATGTTTGTTTCATGAAATGCACTCTCAACCACTATTGAAATAATTATTTCAATAGTGGTTGTTATTTCAATAATGGTTG